GGTGCGTGCCACCAAGCCCAGTTAATTTTTTTATTTATTGCAGACACAGGGTCTCACCATGTTGCCCAGGCTGGTCTTGAACACCTGGGCTCAGGCAATCCTCTCACCTCCTCTCAAATTGCTGGGATTACAGGAGTGAGCCACTATGCCCAGCTTAGACTTTTATTTATAAAAATATCATGTTGAAGGCCTAGCATGATGGCTCAAGCCTGTAATCCCAGGACTTTGGGAGGCTGAGGCGAGAGGATTGCTGAACTCAGGGGTTCAAGATCAGCCTGGGCAACTTGGTGAGACCTAGTCTCTACAATAAATCAAAAAATAAACTGGGCATGATAGCACATGCCTATGGTTCCAACTACTTGGAAGGCTGAGTCAGAAGGATCGCCTGAGCCCAGCAGGTCGAGACTTCAGAGGCCGTGAGCGTGCCAGTGCACTCCAGCCTGGGCGCCAGAGTAAGACTCCAACTCAAAAAAAAAAAAAAAAAAAATCATATTGTAAATGCTATTTGAAAACCAGCTCCTGACTGGGCTCGATGGCTCAGCCTGTAATCCCAGTACTTTGGAAGGTGGAGACAAGTGGATTGTCTGAACTTGCGGGTTCAAGACCAGCCTGGGCAACTTGGCAAGACCTCATCTCTACAATACAGCAAAAATTAGCCAGGCGTGGTAGCATGCGGTTGTAATTTCGGCTACTTGGAAGACTGAGGCAGAAGGATTGCCAGAGCCTAGTGGGTTGACACTGGGGTGGCCATGAGCATGCCACTACACTCCAGCCTGGGCAACAGAGTGAGACTCCAACTCAAAAAACAAAAACAAAAGCATTATTTTGGTGTCTACTAAAAACTTTTTTTTCTTTCTTTTTTTGAGTTTGTTGTCCAGACTGGAGTGCAGTGGCACCATCATGGCTTAATGAAGCCTTGACCTTCTGGGCTCAGGTGAGCACCATAACAGAATTTAATGACATGGTCAGATGTATTAGTTTGATTGCTATCATTCCAAGAGAAAACAAAACAAATTATAAATATATATATAAATTTACCTGTACGTTTCCCTCTGTAATTTTATAATTTATTTTTTACATCCAATTCCATATTTATGTTTATGTGCTGAAATAGGAGTGGCTGTGGGGTGGAGGGGACTAGGTGAGACATTGTTACTATAATTCAAGCAAGAGGTGAAGAGACTCAGACCAGGTTGGGGAAGAGTTTAAGAAGAATAAACAAGCCGGTCTCGGTGGCTCAGCCTGTAATCCTGCGCCTTTGGGAGGCTGAGGT